CCATTAGAAGGTCATTATGGGCACCCACTTGTTTACTTCTTGAAGGAACATTCAAAACAAATGTATAAAGGCTGTACCTTCTGCATGAGACACTCTCCTATGACACACAGGAAAAAAAAGCAGCTGTTATTAGTAGATTTTAAATGGGTTTTTTTTTTCTTTCTTTCCCTTTTCATTATCCATCTGATTATATAGTTCTCCCCCTACCATGTCACTTGTCAGATAAGACTTCAAGCACCTTTCAGCAGGAACTGTAAGATCCTTTTCTTCTTTTTTGTTCTTGCTTTATTTTACTATGGGATCTAGCAAGGCTCAATGATGGGAACCTACTGATGTACCTCAACTTCATTTTTTTTTAATATAACCCCACTTACAGATAATGCAGTTCAAGAGACAATAAACATGTACCCATAATTACCTTCTGATTCCAGTTTGGCATTCCCAGAACTTTGTTTACACTAAAGAGGCTTGTAGCAGAAAACCAGCAAAGATGTCCCAGTAGATCTAAGTGTGATACAGATACCAGAATTTCCCATTTCTGTGTGGTTTTATGTTTGTGCCAAATGGGTAATGTTTACTTTTAATATGTTTTTCAGTCTTATCAGTGCTTTTGGCCATGGGTGGTCTTGTTCTGTTTTTCTAGAAACTAGCATGACATTACATTTATTCCAGGCAAAATACTGCAGTACATTGATCTATCAAAAAAAATTCATCTGAAACAAATGAAGTTAGTGTTACAAGATTGGTTAGAAAGGTACAAAAACTCCCCACTCTCATTTTATTATATTGATATCTTCCATATGATTTGCTCATACTTCATTTCTGAAACAAAGATATACCTCATTTTCTGGAAACTAACTGTATAATTAAGTCAATATAAAAGTTATTAATGTGATGCCAGTATTATTTTGCATTATATTATTTCATAAAAGTCACACAATTTCTTTGTCCATAAATCTATTAATAGTGTCATATTTTGACTCATGGCCAGCACTGTTCCATTCCCAGAATCTAAAAGAGCTAACAGTTTTGGATGGGGATCCAAAGAATAAAACCAAGGCTAATTACCTTGTCAATAAAACTGTAATATTATTATTAGACAAATTCTTTTTTTTAATTGAAGGAGATTAAATCAGCTAAGTCTATTTGCTATGGAAATGTAGGGGTTGCTTAAATGTTTAAGAACACAGTCTAAAGGTTGAATGTCCCCTTCTGTCAAATAGTTGGTAAAAAAAGAATTTGGGTTTTTTTCCCTCTCTCCTTTTTCACAGAACAGACAGAAGAGAAGCAATCTTCTGGGACAGAAGAGAAGCAATCCTTATCACTGCTTTTTGTATCACTCAATCGAGAGATCTCTCTGTGACCTGTTGGGCTCACTCTGTGTCCCTCCCAACAGCTTGACTTCCTGCTCTGATACACACACACTTTCTAGAGGGCACTGCAGGCACTATCTTAAATAAGTAATTTGGAATAGGTAATGAATTTTGGGACTCACTGATGTGAAAACCAAGCAAATGCTTCAGATTTCCTTTCAGACTCATTGGAAAAAAATCTGCAGATTAACCTTTGTTCCCCATTTTTGCTTCTTCACACTACAAAGTGAACTCCATCCCAAAAATTGAGACCTTTATCTCAGATTTGACTCCTCTGCATCTCTGGTCTAACATATAGATACTGTTTAGAAATTCTGCTGCTACTGCTTCTTTAGTTTCTGCTGAATGCATCCTCTTTCCAGCTTCCAAGGATAAATGTCTTTTTAGAAGTTATATCATACTCTCTTTCTCTGGTCTCTTATACACGAATTATATTTCTTCATCTTACAAAAGGCTGCTCCTAAATTCTACTCCATTGTCCAGTATTTTGATCCTATTAACCCCTGCTGAATGTCTCAAAAAATTTCTGGTATAATATTATATTTAAGCTTTTAATTATTATTTTCAAAACTCACTCTCCCTTTCAAAATTCATCCTGCCTCTCATGCTACATTTATTACACCAATTTCTGAAGATTCCAGATAATAGCAAAAAAACCCCAGATCACAGCTTCCTACATAAAGTACCTTAGACCTACCTTTCGATTACCCTATGCTATTGATATTGAAGTCTCTTTTGGAAAACGACTTCTACAATGACATGAACTCTGGTAAGCCCGGTAGATACATAAACACACCGTTCATATGCATTTCATTTTACCTCTCCCCTGCCTACTTGCTTATCCTCTGAGCATGGCCCTCTGAATTCCTATGAGCATGTCCCTGTCCTCATGTAGCCTTGGAATGGGTTGCAGTGGGCAGCTTAGTAAAGGACACTGCTGCTAATAAGGCTAAGCTTACACCTTTCCCTAAGTGGCACTATAGTAGCTACCAGCTATGAGCTTTCCTCATCTGAAGGTTAACTTTTACATTGTTAAGTATGGTATTTCAAGGACAGCATTCACTGGGAAAAGACAGTATAATTGGTAATGTTGCTAGGTACTGTTTGAGCCTTTATTCTTTACTTTCTCATTATACTAATTTTCCTCATGAGGGCAGGTGCAGAACCCAACTGGTGTTATGAACAGCATCGTTTAGTGTATTGACCCACCTTGCTGACTTAAGAGCTATTATGGAGTTTAAAGCTGCATAGAGGCTAGGTTATACAGCATACTTTCAAATTAAGTCCGAGTTTTAGAAGAATTGATTGTTTATTGTCCTACTGGAGCTTGCAATTTTGGTCAAATTTTCTTTGATCTTGGTAGTGTTAAAACATTAAGCAGAATAATTATCTGATCTATGGGACTGTACCTCTGAAACAAATTAACTCCATTACAGCACTCCTATGATTATTAATAATGTAATCTTTTCAGTAATAGTGCAATTTAAGCTTCACTTAAAATCATGCCTTAGGAGTTCAAGGGGAGCAGCAAAGCCAATAAGGATCACATTAAACCTCTTGTTTCAATGTGTGAGAAGCGTCATTTAAATTTTTCAAGCCAAGTCTTGGCACTGGCTTGGGGGAACTTGGCTCTGCTCAAAGGAACAGCCTTCTGTCAATGTCAAGAACAATCCTGAAGAGTAAAAACAGTGAACACAGAAGGCTGCATTGAACCTCTGAGTTAGAAACAAACAGTAAGCAAAGATTAACATTTATCTGAGTCTTCTATTTTTTTCCTCCATTGCAGACATATTAACATGTATGCCATGACATCATGTTGCTATGTACTCTAGCAATGGAACAGAACAGCAACAGGGAAAAAAAAAAGGAAATCCAAGTATATTTTAAATTGAACTCATGTCTCTGTAGAGAAATTAAAGTATCTATTTTTTGGTATAAATCTTGGAAAATCTCACAGCCTGACTATGACTTGTGCAGCTATGTTAACTGTTCAAAAGATTTTGTCAATCCTGTATGAAATATTTCCTCATCTCCTAATTTTGAAGTTTAAAGTACAATTAGGTGACAGTTTTACAGCTTTGACTGTAGGAGGAAAGCAGAACATACAAGATGTCAGTAAATTTTAAACAGGAAGAAGCAAGTTCTTGTATCTTTATGATAACGATGTTTGTGAAAAGTACTGCATTAGAGAATAAAGCTCTTTTCTCCAGAGGGCACTGGGAACACAGTGTAAGTGTTTGAGCATCTCGACATAGCCTCAGCAACCCTGATTTGAATGACTACCTTCAATTAAAAAAGCAGATGGTCATTTCTCCATAGTCTACTCCCTGCTGGTGCTAGTGCTAAATGATGCAGGTGCAGTTCTGTGGTATAGAAATACAAATACTAAATTTTATTGTCAAACACATCTTCTCGTAAAATTAACCCCGCTACAGAAGGTTAGTTGCTTCTGTGGTTTCAAAAATTAATGGTTATTTGTCCTTTTGAAGTAACTAAGGTAGGGGAGTTATCTTCTAGTTTTTGTGACGCTGATCCAGAATATTTACAAACATTTTAAATTATCACCATTATAAAAAAAAAAAATCATTTGACACCATCCTTTATCCTTTAAATGTGAAAAAAGTAAAGAAAATGGAATATATAGTAATGTGATAGTGACAGTTTGTACCCCATCATCATAAAATGGGAGCTCCCAAGCAGAATTCTGTGAAACACTAGTTGCCCACAGAGTACTTGCAGTTATTTCTTGGAAGGCTGGCTAGTCATACACTGCTGGCTTTAGTCCTTGTTTCCAGCTGTTATATCACATGAAAGACAACTAAAAATACATTAAATACTTCTCCATACAAGCAAGCTAAAAAAGGCTGCAATAATGTTAAGCACTGAAAGTAGAACTGTTGTGTTCAAAGTTGTGAAGAGAAGCAAGGAAAAAAAATAAATTACAATTTCTCTGCTAAAGTGTGGTCTGAGATATGGCAAGAGAAAACCTTGACAAGCTTCAATTTCTGTATTTCGGCATGTTTTGGATATTCAAAACTGTATCAGATGTTCAAGGTCTCAGTTCAATGACAGATATAACCAACATTTTCTGTTACGGTTTGGCCTATGCTTATATACCTCACTGAAATCAAAGCCCATGTGCCAAGGAAATCATGTATTGACAGCTACATCAGGTGTTCCGAACAGACAGCAATAGATGATTCCTAGATATTAAATATGTGGAAATTTAATAGGCTTAAGGTGATTCCTTATAATGTTGGAAGGTGTCACTTATTTCAAATACAAATAAAATGTGCAAACACAAATTAATGAAGTGATGCAAACTGGGAGGTTAGAGAGAGCTGCATTTTCTGCATTCGTTTGCCTGCCTACTGACAACAGTAAATTTATATCAGATTTGAATCATATTGAAGACTCATCTCACACTTCCTTCATATTTCTTATTTTTATTTATACTGCGGTCTCAGTGTAACTACATGTTTTAAGTTGTTTCGTTTTGGTTTTTTTTAAGCCTGATTATTCCCTCAGCTGAGAGACTCCCATGCTTCTGATAAAAGTAATTCTGACAAACAACTCAGCTTGCAAAACTTATTATGCTCTGGGGCACTAGTATCAAGGATGCCTTACCTTAGACCAGTCTCCCATTCTCCAGATGTAGCATTTGGAATAGTCCTCACAGTCCTCTGCTTCTTTAGGTCTTGTGGACAAAACACATTTCTTGCGGGGATTGGTACACCTCACAGTCCGATGCCGTACTCCCTTACCACATTTTACAGAGCACTGTTGGAAAAAGATGTTTTTCAGGTTCTACAAAAGTTGCAGTTACCCCATTTTATCTGCATTTAATGTTCTCTGACAGAATAACATAAATATTTCAATACTTCAGTGACTGCCTGACTTCCAATTTTCAATTGCATAGACACTGGATTTGTTAAAAACTAACAAATAAACAAAAATTCCTTATGGAGCAGAATGATAATTTTTTCACTTTCAGCTAAAATATATATAATTAGATCAAAAATTATTTGCTTAAGAGAAAACTAGGCTTTTGGATAAGAAAACACCTGGAAAGTTATGATGAAGTGAAATCAAAATGTTATATGGAAAATATTAGGCAATCTCTGTTCTATGAATGGAAGGAAATATAATGAAAGAAAATCTAAATAATGTTCATAAGAATAAGATATGAAGCAACTTCAGAAAATCTCTCCTAGTGTCTAATAGGCCTTTTCTGGGAGGGAAAAAAGTTAAAATGAAAAAGTAAATATTCTAAACTCTGCAAGTATCCAGTGTGAATTTGAAAATTCAAAGTCACTGCATACACAGCATGTGAAAACTCTCTTCAAGTTGCACAGAAGGTCTTAATCTATGTTTTTTCCACCATTCCCACTTACACTGCCAAAAATTATGCCATTTCCTTCTCAAAACATTATCACTGCTTTTGATCATCCCACTGCTTGCAGATCAAAATTCTCCTTTGCCAAGCTGATTAAAACTGCAGGAAGCAGTAATGGCTAGCTTCCAATATAATGGTGATAGTAGGAATGGCCACAGAAAACACCTCACTCTTCAAAATATATTTATTACTTCCAAGAAAAACATGCTCAATTATTTCTCCTCTCTCAAGTAAAACAAACCAACCAACAAATCTCACATGTCTGAGAGAATAATCTCACAACCACCTCTTGCATTGTAAACCAATGTGTACCACACCAGGAACTGCTATTTACTTCTCATATCTCTACCTTAGCATCTGCTTTCATCTTTGAAAACATTCCCTATGTCTTAGCTCTTCCTTACTTAGGAATCAAGGGGTGTTGCTGAGCAGAGGAGCCCAAAGAAGGGACTACATCCACAGTGAGAAGCTGCTATTTGTATTTTGAACCCTGAGGAACCCATAGCACAGCTTCTGGTATGGGAGGCAATCTGAATTGCCTTTGCCTTTCCAATGGAATGAAAAGCAGCAAATAACCCCTTCAGCTTGTCCAGATGGCAGTGATAACAGCACCCTTCTTCCTCCACCATTAGTTATTCTTAGAAGTAGCATAGCTTTCTAGAAGAAGAAAGCCAAATGGACATGCACATCAGAAGATCTTAAATAAAGCTTTCTGAATAACAAGACTACAGTCTACACTACAGCCATGCTTCAGGATGCAATGTATGCAAAATCATGTTATTTACAAGCTCTTTTGCGCACTGCTTGGCTTGTCTTGGAAAAAGAGGTGAGAAGAGATAGGAAGGGAAGAAAATGTTCTTCTTTACAAGCAGCCCCCTCATAGCCTCTCTAAAGCAGAATAGCAGCAACCATCTACCGGTCAACGTCCCTTGGTACAAAAGTGGTTCAGAGATGATCCCACTCTGAGCCCAAGGTCTGGTAGCTGATAAGTGATGGCCACGATTCCATTTACTCCTAGTTACCTCCTACTACAGTCACAATATACTTGATTATACGTGCTTGAAAACTGGCCATTTTTCCAGGACATTAACTAGGTAAAATGTAGTAATTCTACATGGCTGGTTTTCCTATTCCTTGATCCCTTTGCCAAATTGTTGCACGAGGACCATGTAAATCATTGGGCTGAGCTGTGCCACTTGCCACTGAAGAAATCATATTCCCAGAAAATAGGCATAAATAATCACTATGAACTATTTGTATAAATAAATGCAGGACCTCAGACCAGACTCCCGCCTCCCACACAGTCATGCAGTCCTGGCCTTCACAGCGCTGTGCAGAAGCAGGCTTTGGCCCAAGGCAATCTCTCTCCCTAGCTCTGATCAGGGTCCCATTTCTGAGCTGCTGTGTGCAGGCTACTTGTCTGTTCTGGGTCCCTTTTCCACATGTCCTTGAACATGGAGTCCATTCTGTCATCATCCATCTGCAAAGAAATACAGGCAGTGCAGTAAGAAGAAATCAGGAAGGGAAAAGTACCATCACATCATCTTACTCTCTTGCTTACCAGTACACACACCCAAGACATGCTTGCATATTTTCTGTCTCCTTTTAACTTCACTTAATGGACTACTTATTAATCTACCATATTTAAAAATAAATAAGGTGTTAATGTTCTTAAGGTGTTAATGTTCTTATAATTTATTTTCCTAGTCCATTGTCCCTATATTTTCAGAGTACTCTCCTCATTATAATTCCAATTAGAAAAGCTCTAAAATGCACACACATTTTTAAGATGACAGATCACTGATCAGCCTGTCTGTTATTCTCTATCTATATGACTATCTATGTCAGGTGCATTGCCCAACATGTGAAGTCCAGCATTCTTTGAAAATACTTAGTTACAAGACAGAATCCCTCCTGTGTAAAAGGCTTGTTGCTCTAGAGGAAATATAAAAGCTCAGACTTCTTCATGTTCTTCAGGGTCAGGCCTAACTCAGGTTGCGTGATTTAAATCACAGCAGCAAGGAAAGCTGATGCATCTTGGCAGAGCCCACATATCTGGAGAGCAATCATTCAAGAACATAATTTTCCCCAATTGTTCTGTAGCTCCAGACTATGGCCATGTGCCCTTAAAAATCAAACAGTCCTGTCACTGATGCAGTACAAAAGTGTATCCCAGGAGACTTAGACTGCAAGGGGATTTTTTAGGAAACTGATATTTAACAAATCTTTTCCAAACTTCTGTCACGCATTTGTTGTAAGAAAATAAAGCATTTAACTGAGATTTTTTTTATTATCAGTCCAGAGACTCAATTTACAAATCACAGCCTGTCAAGTTAATGCAACAGAGTTTAAGATACTTCTTCAAGTGCCAATAACAACTAGTTATGCAAGTGTATCCTTTAGTTATATTTCTGTTGAAAGCTAACAATATCTGTTTTGTAATCATCACTAATACTGTATTAAAAATTGGACATATGTTAAGGATCATGATATCTTTCTACATTTCTCAGCACAACATCTCTGAATACAGTTAGCAACATTTGAAATGTGTAATATGCTGCAAGAAGTACAGAACATTGAAAATTTATAGCTGACTGCCTCAGAAAAAGGTCAGACTATTACATTTCTATCTACTAAGTGCACAGTGATGTAAATAAAATAAAGATCTGCTCAAGTATGTATATAATGAAATACAAATAATGCCTCCAAAGTGTAATGCCCCAGTCTGGGGAAGTCCAAACCTCAGTGGTTTGGCCTTAAAATGCATCATACCTTTCATTTTATCAATTTCAGTACTTCATCCTTTTCAAGAAAGCTATGTCTCCTGGTTCATTTTATATACTTTTTCAACAATATTTTAATTTTATTTACTTTGCACTGTTTTCTTTCAAAATACCATCCTCCTCTCATCCAGATGGCTGCAGTAGATCTACCCAAGTGCTTACTCCTGGGGATGCTAGCCAACTACTGCTAGCTGCTCTCCCCTTCCTTGAAAGTGCACACAGTACTCTGGGACTTCATTCTTAGCTTCTTCACTGCCATATGGAAACAGGGCGGCAAACTGAAATGGGTCACTGTGCCAGTCTGGACAGCCAGAGCAAGGAGCAGGCTGCCAGCTCAGCTGCAGGGACACCAAACACGATGGGCTTTGCAGGGCACAAGTTGCATGCTGTAGCTGCTTCCTGGGGTCAGATTCAGAGGAAAAAAGGTCCTTCTGCTTCTTCCACCATTCCAGTGTCAGAGTCTAGTTCTGCCTATTGATCCCCATGCAAAGGGATGGGGGGAGAAGGAGGAGAGGAGCGAGGGGAAGGCTATCTATACTTCGTTGCATCCATGTAGAAAACACGATTAACTGTTAATTATTTATTTATTTACTACTTAGTGCACCCAGAGCTTACGCACAGCTTTTAAAGGAGCAAAGCCTTGACTGAACAAAACACTAAAATGTATCATTAATTAAAAGCACAGGATTAAATCCATCTTCATATGAACAGCACTTGAATTTCAATTTCATAGTACATGTCAGTCTCTGAGAACCACTTCCTGGAGAAGGTAATGAGCTGCTTTATTGCAGCTCTCTTTCATTAAAACTCAGGAGAAACAACAGCCAGTGTTTCTGTTTTCCCTATGTTTTGCATTATAACCTCTTGGATGTATTTATTTACTGCACATGCATTGCCAGAGGCAGTCATCTCTCTTAGCTCCTAAGATTTTTACATCTAGATATTACAGTTTAATTTAACCAAATCACTATTACCTGGTCTGGCATGGCTGCTCATTGCACTTTCGGATCTGTGGTTCAGGTTTTGTTAAATATTTGCACTTCTTGTTGTCCACAAGACTGATATTCTTGTTCATAATCTTTGTGCAAGAGACTGTTGTCTTTCTTTCACCTAGTGAAAAATAAAGCAGGTGGGGAAACCAGGAATATGAAACTTTGTTAAAAAAAAAAAAAAAAAAGGATAATGGTATCTTTATCAGGTATAGATACTTCATGTACAGTTTGGCTAAAAGAACTGTAAAACCTGTACAAGAAAATAGAAGCCAGCAGGGAGCCCAAAAGAGATATTACAGTTTATAGGCAACAATGTGATTTTCTAGTCCAATTTTTGCACATTGCTGACAACAGTTTTGCTGCTTCATTTGTGTAACCAGTCATAGGCCAAACCTTTAGTCTTACTGGAATAATTGTTTCTCAGCCACTGAGACCCCAGTGTTGAGAAAAGCTTGCAGAGGAATTACATAGAAAAGTATGGTTGTTAATTAATATATAAAATAAGGAATCACAAGTCCGTCTTGCTTCAGTTTAGTAGTTCTGCCTAGTTTAGCAGTATATTAGTAGGCGTGGCTGGCAATCAGCTAAAGGAATCAGCACATCTTCAGTAAGGAACCTGCACTATTCCCCATGAACTAAAGAGGCCACATAAAATTATTTAGGGAATTGGTTACTGCCTACATGTGGATGTGCCACGTTCTGTACAGAAACCTTGCCCTGATGGGTGGGTTGGAGCCTGATGTCTCTTGAATCTGGAAGTGTTAGAAATCAGAATTTAACGTAATACCTACCGTAAGCAGTAATTTGCAATTAGATCGGAGTCTAATTTTTAGAAAACTAGCAACCCTTGAATTAAAGATTTAAATTGGTAGAAAACAGGTTCACAACCATTTATTCCTGTGGTTACATTTTAATACTATTTCTACATGGAAGTTTACAGACAAGGAGGGTGTGTGCAGGAGCAGGGTAGAGGTAAGCACGACATGTTCACCAGTGGTCAGAAATGTGCCTGAGGATGGAGCAGTTAAGTTATAAATGCACATCATGTGTGTGACCACCGCTGACATTTTATGCAGCACTTGTGTACGTGAGAGCACATGCAATTAATCCATCATATACAGCATCTGAAATGTTTGACAATTCTGCATTTACGTCTGCATCTGAGTGTTCATATTCTCTCACACACAAAAAAAGCTTTTCTGCAACACAGGAGGTTGCAGATCAGTTACATGTATAAACATGCAAACCCACATGGCTTCATCAATAGTTTCTTTCTGACATACGCTTTAGCATTTAAGCAAAACTACCGAAAACTTATATTTTGTAATCAGATTAATCAAAATATTGATGTTAAAAAATGAAACATATTTATACACAGTACAAACTGCACATTTTAATGTCATAAATGCTTCATATTTAAGCCAAGAACTGAAAGAACAGTTAAAATGGTTTTGTCTAAAGAGAGAAAAATCCTTCACTTGTATTTTGGAGTGTTTGCAGTAAAAACACCTTTTATGGAACTTTGTATTAACTCAGCTATTTTAGACTATAACATAAAATGAATGTCAGTTACAAGATAAAAATATAATAAATAAACATTACAGTAAAACACTTAAATATTTATTTAAGCATTAATGTAGAATAAATTCCCGACATACTGCATTTTAAGTCTTCTCCAGATCATAGGTAACTTTAGAAATATTTGGGGCAATAACGAGAGATTGTGGTGGCATTTAAATTATTCTAAAAATACTTCAGGAAACTGTAAAAAGCATGAAAATTCCAAGTGAATAGGAACAGACTACTAAGAAACAGAGGAAGCTACTAGCACCACATACAAAATAGTTTCAGGGAAGAAGCTTTCTTACCAAACCACAAAAAGCATGTTTATGGAAACTACAGTAGTCTGTCATGACACCAGGATTGTTCACAGAGTCAAAGGAGCTAGAACACTGTGTTCCTTATACTGCTGTTATGAGAAAGTAAAGTGTTGCCAGGCCTTATTCAAATCACAAGGTGTACAACAGTTTTCAGAACTGCTGATTGGAGCAACCATAACTGTCAAGGTCATAAGCAGGAAAGACAGGTATCAAAAATCAGTACAGTATTCACAGTCTATGTCTGACTAAGTACACAGGTATGAACAGATTTCTACAGGTTGCATTAATTAAAAAAACTCTCAAGTGTTTTTTCAGTGTAGTTATCTATCCATCTTCTAAACAGCAGTTTTAAAGGATTTTGTTACAGCAATCATGTTCATGTTCCAGTATTTGTTTTCATAATCATATTTTGTTCTTCCAAATTCACATTTTTTATGGTTTATAAACATAAACATAGGAAAAATAACACATCAGCATACTAATATCTGCTGTTGTAATATTTGTTCCATATGTTTCTGGATCATCCTCAACTCATGTTACTAACTGTACATATTTGATCTGAGACTGGGGTTCAGCTTTTCTGTAGTTTGAAATGTCTTTTACAGATCATTTATCTTCAATAGTTCCAAATATGGAGTGGAATGCATATGAACTTTCTATTCTTGTTCTAGCTCTTGCACTTGTATTTCTTCTTGGAAACTGTGTCCTGAATTTGCTTTGCTAATCTAGATTTTGTTCCTTCACTACCATCTTTTTCTACTTATTTGGTTTGAATCTTTTCCTAGAGTTATCACTATTCTTTTATTATAATCAGGAAGCATGAAGAATGTCCACCATTGTATGGAATCATACAACCACAATGAGGATATTACTATTAAATACAACATATCATCAGTCTTAAATATTAATACACCATGTGTTTTAATCGAGAGAGATATATCTGTATACACACAGTGTATATACATATATATGCATATTGTGTACACACACATACATATATTGCATATTCTGTTTATACAGGCATATTGTACATAAATATACATTTTTAATATTGTGTGTTTGTAAATTATTTTATTTTACCTCCTCCACATACAGCATCACAGTCCTCCCAGCCAGAATGAGTCCACATGAAAAGAGGCTCTGGCACTTTAGAGCTCTGATTCTCCGGAGGTGGATCCAGTGGGATTGTGTACTCATAGTGTAGACCATAGCTCTGGTCATGGAAGAGCAGCACCTACAAGATACAGAGAAGAAAACCTACCTAAGTAGGCAGACACCGTGCAAAACAAACTCTGAACTGTCAGGAGACAATCTTGAAAAAGCATGACAGAATGACTTAATGCCTTATAGCTCTTAAATCCTCTTGATGGATTTTGTAGAAAAAATTAGAGTATCAAAATCAAGACAATGGGAAAAACTATTTTACTTAACATAAAGATCAGAAAGCTCTCCATGTGAAATAACCAAACAAAAACCACCAGAAATCTGGAGGATGATTATGTCCTGTGATTTCAGTGCTCATAAATACAGGAGGTCTTTCTTAGATGCATCAGATTTAAAACTATTTTAGATATACCAGACAATTTGTACTTGAAGGATTTTGAAGTGTGAAGTACTTCCGCATAATCTCTCCCTCTTTCTTTCTGACGACTATCAACTTCTCCACCCATACACTGAAATGCATCAAAACTCTACTTCTTCATGGAGAACTTGATGATTGCAATCATGAATTGGTGAGGCTGTGCTATAGACAGCCAGGACAATAAACATCTGATTTTAATTTGAATCCCTCTCCTTAAGTAGCACATCATCTTTTATGACATTTATAAGAAAGCTGAAACCTTCCATCCTGCCTCAACAACATAAAGAATATTCTTTGATTTAAATGCATTTTTTTACAAGTGGGCTGACAGATCTATACAGATAACCAATTTTTATATATATATATATATATATATATATATATATATATATATAAAACCAGGTGTATCTTACATAGATCTCATTATCTTCGGGAGCCTGGAAAAACACTAGTTACCATGCTATATCACAGGAACCAGGTAAAAAACCCCAATCCATATTGTCATACCAGTAAATGTAAAGGTGATGTTGTGGGACCCTTGGCTGATATTTTCTCCCAGAGACCTCTCCGAACATAATGGACAGTGGTCCCGGCAATATTGTATGTTCCTGAATGCTCTATCTTCCAGTCACTATTGATTGACTGTTTTCCAGCATCTCGAAGAGCTGTAAAATATGTGAGAAAAGACTGTATACATATATATATATATATATGTCAGTACATACATATATATATATATATAAAAAATAAAAATAAAAGGTGTCTATTCAGTAGTCATTTGGGTCTCCTTCCATTTCCTGTTTGGATAATTTTACAAGTAGGTGAAATCACCTAACTGTTTGCAAAGATATTTATGAATCCTACTATAAATGAACTTCAGTTAGAACATGCTTCAGAAACACTTTGTGGAAGGAATGCTTGGCAAAACCATGTGTGTTTAACATTACTTGAAGTTAACATCAGTGTTTTAATGCCTGAAGAGACTGACAGACTCCAGCATAATTCATAATTCGATCACTGAATTAATTTAAGGTAAAGTAGCCATTTTCTATTCCTAGATCATTTCTACAATCCACACAGGCATGGGAAACAAAATTTTCAGAAACCTTCATGATTTGTGGAATTAGGCTAAAACTGAAAACATCCTAGTTCAGAATTATTTCCCGTCTAATAACTACATTTGCCTTTTTCACCTTTAAATGTGACAACTACAGTCACTGTACCTAAACACTTATTTTATACATACTCACGACAAATCTGATGCTCCTAACAAATAGGAGAAGCTTGTTCTTTTTGGCCAAATTATTCCTCTTGCTGGCCTAATTTATATGCAAAAGCATCATCAAATCAGGTAAGATATATTTCACACATTGAGAACACAGGATTTTACATTAGTTTTCTACAGTAAACAGAATAGATGCTTCTGTGAAGGACTTGAAATACTACTTTATTTTACTTTACTTTTTGTTGAGATAATGTCTGAATAATCATGTGAAGTAAATATACTTAAAGTCACCTTCTGGACAAAAGGTTTTACACATTCCTCTTCATTGAAATTGCATGTTTGGCATCAGACTGTTGTAAGAGAACATCAACAGTTTAAGTCTTGTCCAGAATTTCTTTTTTAAAGTTGTAAGTTAATGTGAGTCACTCCTGTAATCATCTTCTCTCCTATTCATATTTATACTGTTATGTTTTGTTTCTATGGGAAACAATGGCAACAGGTCTATGGACTGGCAGAAATCCAACTGAGTAAGACACCACTGATGTGCACCACTGCGGCACTGTGTAATAAATATTAAGACTATAAAATCCACTAACACTGTAGAACAGCCCTGTACTAAAAATAGCCAGTGATTTTACAAGATTTAAAAATTGCTATTTTAGGTTTAAACATTCTGTTATTAATGGTAATTAAGTTCTATTTAGTGTTTAAACTGTAGGGGCCTATCCTCTTCCCAGTGTAGAAACAAAAGTACTCAGAAGTGCCGAGGTCTAGTTGGGTCATGCTGCTCAGATGGAGCATCATCTTCCCCCTGGAGAGTAGCAGACGTTGCATCATTTTGTTTTGTTCTTTAAAATGGACCCGTGTGCCACAGCACACAAACATGTGCAGGGGACTGGAATCTCAGTCCCAGAATAGAGAAATATGCTAGATCTTGCATTTTCTGCTTTCAGATTCCTCACTTCAGCCACTGGGGTTAGATGAAGTAAGAAAGAGTATCCTCCAGCCTAAAATTTAGTCTTGGATTCAGGCAGTCCAGCTTCTGTTCTTGACTCTGTCACACCCATATTGTAAGCAATTTCACCGAGTTTTATTCTATACCACACATGCACTCCCACTCTAGCTTTTGATAGAGAAGGATTTCCTGTACAAAGTAATGCAATACTGGAAGAAAATACAGCACACAAATTTATCTTCTCTCAGGCCACAAAACAAATCAAGCAATACATCTGCAACTAAAAAGACAAAAAAAGAAAACTTGGACTGGGGAAACCTACTTCAGCTGTAACCAACACCAAAATTTCAGTGCTAAAACAAGGGACCTAATTACAAGTGTACCTCTGCAGAGAAAAAAATAGCCATTATCACAATGACAGTTAAGTGATGGTGATGAGTGAAATGTATTCTTTAATTACTGTACCAGGGATATACAGTCTTCCAATGTGAATAAGGTGTAAGAGGTTACACAGCCATAGAGATGCAACATTTCACAGTCCAGGTATTACATCTCCCGGTGCTCAGTGTGAAGCAACAGTGTCCTGGTCCTGGTCATTCACTTGGTAAATCTGTGCCTACTTCCTGGTTTGTGTTTGGTTTTTGTTTTGTTTTGTTTTGTTTTGTTTTGTTTTTGTTTTTGTGGGGGTTTTTTTGTTTGTTTTTTTTGTTGTTTTGTTTTGTTTTGTTTTGTTTTTTCTATGGAAAACTGTAAAATACTACATCACTGTATTAACTTTGAAATTTTTGCTTAAGTTGAAATTTTCACACTTTACAGAGAGGTTAAGAAAAAAGCCATTTGTACTGAAATAAGAGGGAAGTTGATATATTTGTGAATTGTGAATTTTGCCTTTTGCTCTGTGCAAAATTTAGTCATACTCTCCAAAGTACCAAAACAATGTAATTTTGACTGACACTAATTTTTCTGAAACCCCCACCCCCCAAAAATCCAAACTGAAATTAATTTCTAAATGCTAGTACTTTCACTGATTTCTTTTGTCAAGGTAGTCATTGTTTCACTTCCATTCAGGTTATCACGTGTTCCCTTCAATCCTTCTTAAGAACATTAAGACTTAAGATTTGAGTAACATTTTTAATATTTCAACCGAGGTAAGGCTGACTGGTCAGTAGTTCCCAGGGTCCTCCTTATTATCCCTTTTAAAAATGGTGACATATTCCCTTTTCTCCAGTCACTGGTGACTTTGCCTGACTGCCATGACTTATCAAGTATCATGAAGAGTGGCTTGGCAACCTTATCAGGCAGTTCTCTCAGGACCCTGAGATGCATCTCATCAAGTTCCATATAGCTGTGCATGTTCAAGTTCCTCAGGTGGTCTCGAACCTGATCTATGATGGGAGAGACTTCATTCCACTAGTCCCTACCTTGGTGTTCAGGGGCTTCAGAGATGTGGGAAGAGTGTTTACCATTGAAACTGAGACAAAAAACTGCTGAGTACCTCAGCCTTCTCTGTGTTTTTTGTCATTAATTCTCCTGTCTTATTTATCAGGGGGTGTGTTTGTGTGTGTGTACATTTTCTTTAATCTTTGCTTTCTGACTAACATACCCGTAGAAGCCTTTATTTTTCTTTGTATTCCTTGCCAAATTCAGCTCCAACTGTGGCCTAGCTTTCCCGATCCCATCCCTACATAATTAAGCAGCATCCCTATATTCTTCCAAGGGTATATATATCCCTGGTTCCACTGCCTTTGAATTTCCTTCTTCGACTTTAGTTTGACCAGGAGGTCCTTACTCAGCCATGCTGGTCTCCTGCTTTCCTTGCCTGATTTTTTACATGTGGGAATTGAGAGATCTTGCAATCTAGGACAAATGTTCTTAAAGGGCTGCCAGCTCTGTTCTGCCTTTTTTTTTTTTTTTTTTTTTTTTCCCTGAGGGCAGATTCCCCAGGGGTTCCATCCACTATTTCCTTAGACAACTGAAATTTTGCTCTCCTAACATTCAGAGTCCTGACTTTAGTCTTCACCTGGCTCATATCCCTCAAGATCATGAGTTGCACCTGGGCATGATCACTGCAGTCCAGGCTGCCACCAATCTTGACCTATCTAAGTAGTTCATCTGTGTAGGTAAGCAATCAACAAGGTCCAGTTATGCTGTTTCTCTGGTTGGGCTGTCTATCACGTGGATTAAGAAATTATCCTTGATGCACTCCAAGAGTCTCCTGGTGCTGTGCTGTTTTTCCAACAGATGTTGAGTTACTGAAGTCCCAAGCAGAATTGGAGCCTCTAAATGTGACACTTCCTGTAGTTGAAATAAGAAGGCTTCATCAATAGGCTCCCCTTGGCCCAGAAGCCTGTAGTAGACACCAGCCATGAAGTTTTCTTTGTTGGTTTGGCCCCTAAGTTTTACCCATAAATTCTCAACCTGTTCCTCACTGTTTTTCAAAGATAGTTCTGTGAAGTCAATCCAATTTTTTATATAGAGGACATTTGTTTCGTCTTGATGTGAAATAGTTTCAACAGGAGTTAGTTGTTAACCATCTTCTGTGGCCCTCTATATATGAAAGAAAAGCAAGTTTAGTCCCAGTGGACTGGTCTCTGCTAAGGGACCAGGTCCTCAACTAGATGACCCTGAAGTTAGAAATTACACAGTCTAAGGATTTGCTCCAAGTTATTTTAAAACTATTAGCATTACCAGAAATGAGAGATTCAAAATTTCGTACTGTTTGTCAGACCCCACCTGGCTTTCCCACACCCTCTACCCCCAAAATGTGGTCCAACATGCTTTTTTTTTTAACTAGGAAACATAATTCATAAAGTAATCAGACAGAACACAACACACCTATGGACGTGATACTTATAGGACAATTGGCGATTACAATGTCAGGCAGCGTTAAATTGAAGGTCCGAAGGATCTATATCCCTGAAGTGGTTTGATAGCATCTTTGAGAATAATGATAAAGTTAATCCACTTCAGCTGAAAACAAATAATTTCTCTCTTTTCCAATTAGCACGAAAAATTTTCACGTTTTATATTGTAACTCATTTGTATAGTTATATACCATTAACTGATCTTATTAATTCATTGTGGGACCTGGACCTGTCATGCCATTATACAAGTGTCACATGAATGAGCTCTCTAATCTCCTAGTCTGGTGTACCTCTCACACAAAAATGACATAATCTTCCTTTTTGTATCTTACATAAAGAACTTTTTTGAAAAAACTTTTAACACCTGTTAAATATAAATGAAAAATTAGGGACAGAAAAGGAATTATCTTAGACCACAGGAATCTAGATAATGCTTGAAAGAACTTTTTTATAGCTGTTCTTACAATAATTTTTTTAAAGTAACTGACAATGAACTAAATCCCATGTCAACACCGTTACAAACAGACAGGCTTATCACTGCTAGTTTATTCTTTAAAAATAAATGTCAAATTTCTTTCTTTTATCAAATTAAATAAACACTCTTCCCGCCCTTTTAAACTGCTACAATTCCTATTCCTGAATGCTATACTGATGAAAGATGAATTACAGTCTCTTACACATTTTCTCATATAATTTCATTAGGGAGGAATACCTAATGCTTGGCTATATCACTGCTCCTATCTCCCACAGGGAAGAAGAGACAGTACAGATCTCAATAAATCAATTGATTCTGTAAATGAAGTTGCAAGTTACACGTTATCTTTTCTCCTAGGATGCCAGAGCTTCTGTTACTGTGGTGTATGTTGATATACCTCAGGTAAAGAAGATATCTGAGGTGTTAAGGTAGAATTCCTCCAAAGATTTGCTTCAACAGCACTATCACCCAGTGTTGTTAATGATGTGGGCTGTAGTTTTACTAACCACTTTAGTAACACCATTGCGGCTTCCAGGTCATAGTGACTCTGCTTTCTGACCACCAAGTAAGTCCAGAGACGGCCATTTCATTTTGACACCCTCTGTATTTGACCTGTGCTGTACAACAAGGGTCAAATCTTCCCTCTTTTAAGTTTAAATTAGCTTCTAGTTTGTATGCCACAGCTCTTACTGTATACCGGATTAAATTGTGTTTACAGCTATATCTCTAATCATACAATTATTATTTCTATTACGTATATATTATATAATACACATTACATAATAATATACACATAAATGCATATTATTATACACACAGTCATTATTAATTATATTTAATCATAAATATTTGTAATAATAATCAGTATAATAATTATTATATCATTAATAATGACATAATGACCTATATTATTTAAAAACCTTAATCCTAAAATGTGTATACGACAATTAGCAAAACAGAAATAGTGTTGGTCTGTATCAGCTCAGGTACAGAAATACAAAGTACCATGCAACATAAAATTAGCATCCAGAAATATAAGATAGAAAACAAATCAGAAACACGAGAGAATTTAATCTGTATTACTTTTCACATTTTTAATCAGTATTTTGAAGAATATTCTTTCTAAAGATGAGAGATTTATGCCTTCTCCCAAAACTTTTGTTACTCCTATGAAGAAACATTCAAAATGTTACTCCTTTTCAGTTCAGATTTTTGTGCTTTCAGAGTAAATCTCCTATAAGTGAAAAAAAGTTTAAATACAGTAGCAAAAAAGAAAAAAAAGGTGCAACGAAAGAAGCTTTAATTCAAAATATTGTAACAGACCTGCTCCTGCTTCTCCATAAAGGCTTAACCAAAAACTATTCCAGTGAAATACTGGCTAATCCTCATTCATACTGACATTAGTGAAATTCAGAAAAGTGAAATTAAAGTGACAAGCAATTAAGAGCCAATTATGTGCTAATTAGAACCTTCCAAAAATAAGCAGCATGACTGATATTATTTCATGGCCATAAAAAGCATTACATTCTTTTTGCCTTTTGTAAGGTAAGGAATGAATCAGTTCGCTACTCGTGAAAAAGGAACTAATTTCCCTAAATACAATTCCGATATTTATTTATTTTTGAACTATGTAAAGAATAAAAACTAATAGCATTTCTGTTGCCCACATACGTTAACACAGTAGACACAGAGAGGAAAATAAACTTGTAAAAATTTCAAAATATGTCAATAGAACTTCAGTTATTGATTTGACACTCTTACATATCATGTCTATGGTCCATTGGGGAACAAAGAAATAATCCAGATCTCTAAATGATTTGTGATATCTTAACAGGGCAGGTGCAGACCCCATGATAAACTAAGACTCACCCATTGATAACTTTAAGATTCACCATCTTCAACTTTCTCTTAATTGAAGTACTGAGAAAACTCAGGTTAAAAGTTCCTTAAAATGTAGATATTACTTATAAGCAGAACTAAGAGTAGTAATCTAACCAGGAAATTTTTCATTTCATTGTCCTATTTCTCATATTGTCTCTCTCAATTTAAACTTAAGCAATGCATGAAATAGCCCCAGTTATGTTCTTTTATATATTCACTTAAATCCTGTAAAAATAATAGCAATAAATTGTACTCCGCTGCACAACAGCTTTAGAACTTATTAAAAGAGAAAATTTTTATCAATTAAAGAAAATTTTATAGAAATGGAAAAACCAAAATTATTTATTGTGATTAAATTTGTCCATTAAAAAATATAGACAATTCCAAATAACGCAAAGAATATTTTTCTGCTCGCTTAGGCTAATTTTAGAACTTTTGTTTGTCTTTGTTGGGGATTTGCTATATGTTGGTCAGTGTGGTTTTTTTGTTGTCTGAGCATAAGTTATTCTGTATTTCAGCATAAAATTGTTTTCACTAGTTTTAATGTGAAGTATTTTCCTTGCCACTTTCCACATGAAAAACTAAAAATGTTAAAGTATTCAGTATTTTTCTTAAATCATCTAAATACATTCTTTGCAACATTCTCTAAACAAAATGTGATGGGATAAAAGTTCAAAATAAAATCTATATGAAGAATAGTGCTATAATCGTTCTTTTATTTTGTTATTTCCACAAAATTTCTTTGGACATATTCTTCACCTTTTTAATTTTTTTTCCACTCAGAGTTTTGTTTAATCACAAAAGTATGTTTAGCTAGCACTCTTCAGTGCTGACCAAAACAGGATATGACAACTAAAACATACAACATTTACCTAAATAACTGTGAGCTGGTTTTTCTTCCACAACTTTGATTCTCCTTGCTCCTGCAGGTATCACCAAAGCTTCCACATAACCTAGACATGAGGCCAGATGTCCCGAGTTAAATACAAATGGGTAGAAAAGTACATCTTGTATATTTTTAAATTTATTTTCTCCTATTTTGCTTTTTTAAATGTAAGAAGTCATAGTATAAACAGCAATGGTTTGAAGGTTCTGTTGAAACACACTATGAAAATCTGTGCTGTGTGTATTACATATACCATGATATACAATTAAGAGTTTAGCTAAGTAAAACGTAACAAGAACTAGTGAGGCTGGGCAGGCTGGGCTGGAGCAGATGAAATTGTGTCTGGCCAAGTAGTTTAGTGTCCACCAGATAACCATAAAATAATTCCAGCTTCACTCAGCATAGAGAGACACATGATGCAGCACTAAAACCCAAACATCTTCCCACTGTTTGGCTTATGTTTTGGTTTCGTTTTTTTAAAATGTTTTGTGCTCCATCTCCCTCTTCTTGCTTTAACACATTCAAACCCTTTGATGAATGGCTTTAGTCTTAAAGTTTTTTATTAATTATTTGCTTTATGTTACAATAAGACTATAGGACAAAGACATGATGTTGAGCAATTTGTGTTAGGTAAAAAGGAGTGAAAAGGCAATGAAGATTGAAAAACATCATGCAAGCAAGAATGTTATAAATAAATAAAAACGTATTTTATATTATCCATGTGAACTTCAAAAAGTGGACAGTAAACCAAGTTTTTATCTGTGTAGCTACATAATGCTTACACAAAATACTGAGGATTTTCAACACCTTTTCAATAATCCTGAAACATGAAAATTAATTGCTGCAAAGCAGTGTTATTTCTCTTTAATTTTCTTAAAAGCTAATAACACTTTCTAAGTATTGTTGACAGTCCAGCTTCTTGAGAAGGAAAATAATTTACTTAGTTGTTTAGAAGGCAGTACCACAATAATGTGGATTGACACAAAACTCTCAGTAAACTTGAAAGCCTGTGGATATACACATTAACTATAAAAGGGAGCTGATACACTGTAATTTCTATTAGCAGCCACCTTCTTTGTAGTTTTTCATTCTGTAGTCTTCCAGACTCATCTGTGGTTTGGGATACCTGCTCTGCATTACCTTCAGCTTAAGAGAGGACCAGACATAAACATCTAAAGACTCCGCCTAATTTTTTCTTTTGTTTTTTTGGAAGTACTATACTTCTGTCTACAATGCATTGAAGTCCTTGGTTTTCCAGATATACCTCTGCTTCTAATTACAATATTTTTTGATGTGATTTACTTACTGTTTTGAAATTCTGCACATTTTCTACTCAAGAAACTGAAAGTGTAATGGCAAACAAATGCTGAAAACAGTTGGTCAAACACTGTTTCAAAGAAAAGACTTTTCTTGGAGAGAAGATATACATGCCGCATGGCACACATTAAGGATTTCAATCCCCTACTCTGTCAACACTATTGTGCTGGAGCCAGTCGATTACTCTCATTCAAAGAACAGATCACAGTAGTATTTGAAAATCTCATGTTCATTCTGCATCAGAAAATCTATTTGCTTTTTATGATACGTTATTATTAGTGTAGAATAAAGAAAAGATATAAGACTTCTTCACACATTTAGCTTTATATTCTCCCACTGTCTAAGTAACAGATCATAATTTGTGCATTTATTTTGAAGAACACTAAATTTATCTAAACACTATAAGAGTTTACAGGTCATTTGTTTACTAAAAATATACATTTTATTTCACAGATTTTTTTAAAAATCAGGCTCTTCTATGAGTCTTAATGGAAGACAGATAATTCCTTAATTTTATAATTAAAACAATTTGCAATGATTTTGCAACAATTAAATTTAAAAATACTCATGCATTCTTATCTTAAATGTCTTATTATCTTAAAAAAATGAGATCTGAATTTCTTGAGAAGAACTGCTTAATTGTAAGACATACAGCTTTTTAAAGTTCCCAATGTTCAAAGTAATCCAACAGCTACTGGTTTCCTGAGTATTTGAAAGAAACAGACCTACCTGCTCCTCTGGTATGGTTAAAATCACCTTTAATAACTTTGCATGACTTTCCATTACCATTGCATACACCGCAATGATCTTCACGAGCCAGAGATCCCAATATGCCATCACAGCCAAATTTCTGTGGGAGAAGAAAATAAAGCAATTAAGACACAGGCCATGCTTTTCATAAAGCTGCCTTTAGTAGTGGACATGTCACCCTTTGGAAAGACACCCTAATCAACTTGATCTAGCCTTGCTCAGAATGAGAGTTGCACTAGTTCATGTCCAGAGATCCCTTCCATAGTAATGTATGAAGTACATTAAAAATTAAACATAGTAGTTTATGTAGATTGTTGTATTCACTCTTCCAATATGGTTGGCTATCTCTATCAGCTGCTCTCCAAGAGAAATATGACGTTCCCATCTCCCCCATGGGACCTCTGGCACTTCTGAGGCACTGTGGAACACAGACAGACCCCACAGGACCTCCTGCTCAGACACTTCAACATGTGCAACTCTACCGCTTTCTACTCAAAATATGGGAGTTTCTCTGCCATACCCACCATGGTAAAGTGGTGTCTAATGTCAACCTAATGTCTTATTTTGAATAGGATGTGGACACATTTGGAATATGTAAATGTGGATTGTATATTTGTTTTGCTAAAAAGTATTCAGTTTAAAATAAATTGAGTTTCCAGAAGCATCTCCACATTACTATGCTAGACACATTTCTCCCAATAAATATCAGTGGTAGCTTGACAACAGAAATACAATCAATATCATATGCTGGCTTGATATGAAATAAAAGTCATTTAAAGTCTAGAGAAGTCATTACAGGGTAACCTTGTCCACTGTATAAATGCATCTGATAAAAGCAATTAAACTTCAAGACTGTTTGATAAATAATGAAGATAAAAGCTTGGTAAAAGAGAAAATAAAGGATTCCTCTAAGACAAGAAACCACAGTCTATCAAGGTGCCACCCATTTTCAGGCAGATTGTTACTTGACTTCATGCACAGAATTTTTATTAGAGTCCTACCTATAAAAGCAATACAGATTTCAAAACACTGTTTACAGTGTAAGCATTCAAAGAGCTGTGTATCCAAAATAGCACATCTACAAGATAGGAAAACCTAACTCTACAGCTGTAGCCCCCAAAGTTCTTCCCAATGGGTTGTCCAAAAATACAGGGTAAAATGTGGAAGACCTTACAAATTAAGACTTTCAAATCTAATTAGAGCCTATCTGTCTGCCTGTTGGTATGCTAAGAAGCCAACTCAGTCCGGTGGGTTTCATTTAAGGCTCTTTTTTTTTTTTTTTTTTTTTTTTTTTTTTTGTCTTTATCAGTCAGTTGTGAAAAGTGAATGATTAAACGTTTTTTCAGGAAAAAATGATCTATGTATTATATTCCTGATTAAACCTGTAATTGTTACACAGTGAATTTAAAGCCCCAATTCGACAAAGTATTTAAGAGTATTCTTGTTTCATGCACTCAGTCACTCAAGAATGGATACGAACATATAGGCGTTTGTATGCATATGTACATGCATGCATGCATATGTCTATAAGTTAAATTGCTGAAGTTATTACAGTATCTAGCAATGCTGTTTCTCTGTTAAAGGTTAGTTTTTATACCGAATTCCATGTGTACCATTAGAAGTGGATAAAGAAAAAAAACAGCTCTGTGAGATTTTTATATAAAAGAGTTTCCATATGAGGCACTATGAAAGTGACAAAAGAACTTCTATGAACCAAATGAATTCTGAAGATCAGGAACAGCATAAACCCTCAGCTTTAATTATCTGTTATTCTTCTCCTTTGGTCTTGGTTTATTTAGATGTAAAATTTGTTTCTGTTGAAAAAGGCAGAATTAGACATATATATGCATACTCCATAGCAAAATTTCCAAACCTGTTGAAAACTGAGGTGTCCTTTAGAGGCTGAAATCAGTTATACTCATTTTCCACTCTGCAGCAGTTTGTTAGTAAGCATCCTTATCATCACAGATACACATTCCCCAAGCTAACCCTTCAGCTGCTTCACATACTGTGTTGCACTGAGTGAAATTAGCTTAAAATAGTTTAATATGATGCAAAAAGAGCTGTTCAGTCTTGATCATGCGTATTGCAACATGCTATCACAGAAATAATACATGTGCATAACAATTTTATATGCTGGTATACGTCTGCCTGTGTATCCAGGTTCAAAACAAATAATTCATACCTGGCATCTACCATCTGCACAGACATCTAACCCGTGCTGGCCACAAGAAGTCCCATCCATCACCTTTTCTGTTAGAAGAACAGCTTGATCCTTTCCAGCTGGTGAACATAATAAGGCACATGGCTTTTCTGTAGTAGCAATTAATGGAAAAAAACCCACCACATTGGTAAAAAGTCATTTAATAAATATTATCAACATTAATTTTAAAACTGATATTTGCTTATCTGTGTGGCATGAATCTATGTTAGCATAACTTAGATACAGTGCAAACAAAAATATTTTGATCCTTTTCTCAGCTATTTGAAAAACTCAAGTTCTTTCTCCTGCTAGAGCATACTGGTGCTATAAAGAGCCTACATAGTACTCATGTCACGTTCATTGTTGCAATTAAGAATATGCACATTACAGCTGTCGGAATATTTTGGTTATAATCTATACTTTCATTCTACTCTATTTTTAGCAGATCATAAATATTGGTTAAAAAAGAAACTTAACACTTTCCAGATTTTCTAACTATACAGGTCAAAGAGAAAAAAAATAAGTAATGGAGACATCCTGGGAAAAAATTACACAGATTTTAAAAGTCCACATTAAAAAAAAAGACAAAAACCTGAACACATTCTTTCTAACATCTTTGCCAAGGTCAGGCAATTTTCTACTATGTTTCTAAAACATTTTGCAAATCATTTCTAATTTTGAAGGAGAATAAAAAAGTAATAATATCCTATATATCAATGTACTCCTAATGGTCATAATTTATAAATGGTTTGCTTCACCACTGCCAAAGTAATACCAAATAAAATAAATTGTCTCCTCTCAGTGGCTAATTGAGTACAAAATGACATGATTTTTTCACATCTTTGTTCACAAGCATACTGACTCAGAACTTCTCCTAAATTTGTTGCAGATTTTTGAAAGGATAAAGTAAATCCTGAACTTGAAACTGATTTCACTTGGACACAATGTACGCCACTCTGAGTTCATTCTGACTTCTAGATTCCTGGAGTGTATTTTTATTAGTAAATTAAATAGTTCCAGGAAACGTTCATGGGCACTGGAGTTCTACTGTCTACACAGCTGAACTGTAAAACAGTCTATGCCACATCTTTTTGCATGTTCTAACCAGTACTAGCTTGGTCTAGACTGGAAATTGCCACCTGAAAAGAACTTTTTCCAAAAAGCAGTTCACATGTGACCATCCTTTTTAGAGTGCAAAAAGAGCTGAAATGTATGGACAGAGGACTTCTGTGCCAGCTGATTTAAACATCAGAGAGTGGTCTGTGCACTTTATAATTTACTAAAATTGACACAGCTCCTGGGTATATCTAGGGGACTGGTGCCAACAATTGTGATCTCTTCTGCCAACATGTGAAGCCAGTCAGACATCTCCAAATGAGAAGCGTGAGTCTCTGTCTTGAGCTTGTGCCCTCCGCATTTCTGATATACTCCTTAAATAATAATCCCAAACTTCCCTGGGAGATTTAAGTATGTAACAGCATTTTTTAAAGAAATACAAGATTAACAACCTAAGCATTATTTTAAGGACACTGAAATCAAAGACAGTAACTCAACAATACCAGATAACTTCAACAGACTATAAGACACCTCATTCCAATAGAGCATCCATTTTGGACACTGTGCACAATTAGTGTCTACAAAAAGCTAAGAGTGTAAATAATTAAGGATTTGGGAACAATGTACTTCTGTGATGCTGGAATTCTTTAGCTGGTGTCTTTTGTGCCTCCTGAGGGATACCTCAAGACAAGAGGATCTCTCAGAACAAAGTTAGATGAAAGCAACCATCCATACTCCTCAACATGGGACAAGAGTGTCAAGATTTTTCCTCAGATGACTGAATAATACAATCTAAGTTTGCAGTATGCACATTACATATGGATTTCTGCCAAAATCAAATACTGGTATGTGAAATACTCATGTTAAGCTAAAAGGGATCACTCTTTCCACAAAAATGGAAGCTTACAATATCCGTATTATTTTCTTCGCTTTGTAGGCAGAAGGATAACTGATATATGCATGCTTAATGTAGAGATGTATTTCTGAATCACTTCATATGACATTTCTGTTTAAATAGGACCAAAATGATACTGAATTTCGGTTCAATTTTTCAGGACAAATTCTATAGGAATATAAGACAAAAGATTCCAGAGTGTGTGAAAATACCACCAGATCTTGACTATGAAATAAAAATGACTTCCCAAAATTCTTGGGCCTGTGGTTTGTTTGTTTGCTTTACTATTTAACATATGTTTCTTAATCAACCATAATACCAAGGTCCAAGCCATATGAGCAGATGATAAGAACATGGGAGATGGTTTATACTTACCATCATCAATGACAGCCTGCCACTGGTGCACATGCTTCTGATATGAAGATCTGACACTGAAAGCCTGGCACTGCCAGTCCCTGAACGCAGGCACGCCAGCAGGACAAGAAGGGTTTTCACATACTCTATACTGCATCGTGGGACCGTGACAATCTCCTTCAAGACCTGAACTAGAAAAGATGGCATAAATATAATGCTTTAGTGTTGGTAACGTGTTGTCAAATTTCCAGCACATTTATGCTATAGAGAAATTAAGTTTAAATAGCAGGGTTTTTTTGTTGACACATAACATTTAAGAAATCACCCGCAAAAAATCAAAGTCACAGAACATGTTTGCCTTCTCTTTGTACTGGTTATGTTACATATAAGGAGTCATGGGTATTAAACCGAAATTTACACTTGGCCCCGAAGAAGCACTAGGACTAGTAGAATTGTTAGTAAGGAGAAGCTCAGCTGCAGTTTTGACACTGTTCAGGCGATTTTTCTCTAGCCGGACTAAGCCAAAGGTGCCACTGAAAGGAAGTAACACCTGCAGATTTGCTACCTCTCCTTTTTTACAACTGTTGCATTGCAAAGTTCGGACAACATGCTTTGTTTCTTTATGGTAGCTCCTGTTGTGCTTGCAGGTCCCAATGAACAAATGCAAAAGAACAGTGAACTGCAGAAACTGGTTCTAATTATTTGGAACCTTGCCTGGAAAAATGAAGAATGAAAGTAAAAGTAAGACATCCCTAAATTCTAGAAATAGGCATAGAGCTGGAAGTGGCATTTAGATGTCAGGAAATATGAAAGCATTCTGCATATCTAAGGCTTCTGTTAAGGTACAATGACTTTGTGTAGCCATATCCAAGTTTTCCTGACATTTTTTTATGTAAACTCCTTTTTTAAATCAGTCTTTCCTGTCATTATTTTTTTGCCCCAAATCTGTTATATTGTCTTCCATCTTTCTTCATTGTCCCCTTTTGTTCTATTATTTTCCTAAACCCTCTACTCTACTGTGACCTTCCCTGACCTGATCTACCCTGCCCTACCCTACTCTATTCTACCCTGGTGCAGTCTAATCTAGTCTAGTCTTATCTACACTTGTCTTCATTACTCAGCTCTACTCTGTTCCAACTTCTCTATTTATGCTTTTTCTATTGGTATATAAATGACCCATGAAAGACAGATATGTGATATGAGTAATTAAAAGGAAAGTATCTTTTATCTGATCACTGAATATGGTGAAACAGAATCATCCGAGTCAATGGTAAAACTCCCTTTATGCCCAATGGCACAAGGTTTTTGTTTTTACAAGATATGGAATCTAAATGTTGTTTCCAGATATTCTGTCTCAATGTCTGTGAAACTGGTATAAAGATCTCTTTGTAAAAGTTGCAATTACTTGGCTCTCCAAATGAGACAGAAGTCAATTTTCTCCAGTAAAAAACTGAAAGACTAGAATTACACACTGACGCTCTGCAAGTCCAAAATTACAAATTTAATTTTCTGTTGCTTCTTCAGGTGAATCTTAAAAAGAAAGTTGTATTCTCCCATTAATATTATCTGAGATTTTGACAGAATCAGAAAAGTGGAAAAATAGTGCTACCATGCAATAAAACCCCCAGGGTACCTATTCTCCTAATTGTTTTTCAGTACACATAAAAAATATATTGCTTATGTACAGGACAACTATATCTTAATGGGTTTCTGTACTCATAAGATTTAAATCCTCTTTGGAAATTCTGGTGAACAGCAATGGAAACCTGAACTTGTTTTTACCCAGGGCATTTGCGTTGTCGACTGCTGATTCCAGTGTTGCAAGTACGGCTACAAGTGCTCCACGTGCTCCACTCCCCCTCCATATGCTCCGCAAAAGAGGTCCGATTGATACACTCTCCAGCCTTACACCACTAGGTGAAAATTCAGCTCTTAGGTAAATAAATCAAGGCACATGCAAAACAATTCACTGCTCCACAAGCACACACGAAGCACAACAGAAACATTTTGTTCAATACAGTTCTCATATGAGTCAGATGATATATTTCCTCCTATTGTTCCCTATGACTTTTTAAAAATTATTATTTACTTAATTCTAGTAAATACAACAGCCAGAGACCTTTCTCTGGCTCAGTGGCCAGAGAGCAAGTGCAATTCTTGTTCACAAGCTCGAGCACCAGTTCATTCTCAATAAAGGATGCCTCCTAGAATAGTCTACTGGAAATGGTCCCCAGAGCATACTGTCCCCTTCATTTGAGCCTGGGTACTGCCTAAGAAAGTGCTTTTGGGTCCAGCCCAAACCCACTGCAGGGATCATTCTCCAGCTGAACTGTACAGATGATCACAGCACAGTTTTCAGGGCTGTTCTCAGGACTTGTTTGGTTCACTATACAGTTCCCATGTAACTAGCAGGAACTGCATTGTCATTGATTATCTAGTGACAATTTCAATAGAAGGATATATTACAAGTAATAGAGAAAAAGAGATTTTTTTTCACAACTTGCATTCAAAGACAGAATGGAATCCTCAGTAAGCTAGTGTTGAGAAAGTCAAGAAAATTTCTAGCATTTCTTTGAATAATAATATTCACCTCAATAGTCTTGTATGCATACATTGTTTCCCAGGGCAACTGCAATTTCACACTCAAAATCCATCCAATCACTATTGTTATACTCTGTAATCTGTCATATCTGGTATTAATCATCATAACTCTACAGAAACTAGCACTTTATCAACTTATACCAGCTGAATATCTGTCCCATGTATTATGAAATTTCAGAAACTGCTAAGTGGTAAGTCCACAAGTAGGCAATGAACAATTAATGTCATTACCATCACTAATTTAATCCATTTCTCTTTGTACTCTGAATTACTGGTGAATTACTGTTATCAATGGATGAAATTCATGAAGAAGTCTTGTATTTTGAACAAAACTAAACATGTCACTAATGCAGTCAATAAAGGCCTTTGTCACTTTTAGAATACACTTCCGTTACTTGCAGTGTCTGTACTAAATCCTTGTCTGGTGATCTTAAACTTCATCTGCAGTTTCAAACTGGTCTTCACTGATCAGTTGATCTTAATTTTCTCTCTTAAATCATGACACTACAATGATGGCATAATTATACCACCTTTGAAAAGTCTTCACATAGCACGGATCCATCATTAAGTTGTATTTGCAATCAGATACTACAAATTTAGTAGTGCTCTTGGATGTTTCAGATCAAAACTGCTCACATTTTTAAACAATATTCCTTCAGAGATAATAGGTAAAAAGGCTTTTTCTCCAGAGATAGTATCTGCCTTATGTAGAATCTGAGGGATGCTTATAAATCCTTGACTTAAAAAACAACCAAGTTGGAGAGGCTATGCAAATAACATTTCTATCACTTACTAAGATCCTAAGAGAAGCATAAGACAATGTTCCATCTCTACAATATAAGCAAAACAAAACAAAACCCATGATTTGTGTAATCTGAAGCTCATCTTGGACAGATAATAAACAAGAAGAATAATCCGTTCTAATAGTCAGATGTTTCAGTAATGTTGGCTTAGATTTTTACTCCCAGGACTAAATATCTCTGTAGCCTGGCACAAGGCTTAACGAGCTGTTCTAATTAGAATCAGTATTTTGTCTTGCCCTTACTAATTATTTACCCCCTACTATCTAAACTCTATGATAAAGAGAATGATGTTATGTTCCTCATTGGACTCTGCCAGGACCCATGTCACTACCATATCATAATGCTCCCACAAGTACAAAGTCAGAGTGAGTCCTCTGTGATGAGTTGTTATTATCACCTTTTGTAAGTCAGACATTAATATGCAAAACACACACTAATTTCACGTGCCCAGTACATGATGGTGGTGGTTTCACAATGAAAATTCTAAGTAGTCTTAATAAGAGGTGCCACTTTCTTAATCCATACCATGAGCATGACAGTCTCAATGTAAAGAATGCAAAATTTACTACAAAAGGCATGTCCCTGACTTTCCAGGTATTGATTTAAGACAAAATATCAACTACACACATTTATCAAATCAAAGATCGCAGCAAAAGTCATTATTTTAGGGATATAAAAATGAATAAACCCAGTTTTTCCTTTAGTATGTAAAATTATATTATTTGAATATTTTATCTTGCTTGATTGGTTTACTTTTCAGGGGGATGATGACAGTCCTGATGAATGTAATACAATTCAAAGAGCAAATCACTCCTGTGGGAGACTGCTGTCAACACAGTATCAGGAAAATCCCAAGATATATGAATGCACTGCTCTGTTATCTATTTGAGGTTATTTATCTTATAGAGATGACAGAGATTATTCAAACAAGAAGGCTCTTGAAAGGCATTTAATGTAAGTCTGACTTCAGATGACCATTTAGTTTATCTTGATGGCATACTTTTAATGACATCTATCACTCTTACATGCATTTTAAATGTAACTCAACTGTATGATTTTTATAATAATTGAGGTAAGGAACTTTAAACAAGTACAAAGACCTATTCAGCTTAACTGTTAGGTGTTTGAGATAATTTATATTGCTTTTCCACCAGAAATATACCTTTCCAGTGTCACAGTCTGTTCCATCCATTGGTGGATCCAGCTTAGTTTTGCATTCCTTGTCGCTTTCCACCTTGCACCACAACCCGGTGCAAATGACATGCTGAAAACCAGACACACAGGTAAGCACAAAATCTATCTTACGCATAATTATTTTCTACATGCAATTCACTAACATCATAAAGTCACCAGTTTGATGGTACTGAAGTATGTTTAAAGACAGGTTAAATGCACAAAAAACAGAGTGGGCAGATTCTGCTTAGAATTTTAATAATAATGAACACATGGAACAAGTCAAGCTGGTGTGTTGACAGAGTGGGGAAAGAACCCTCTAAGTATAACCCTACAGGTCACAGTCTTTGCATACAATAGATCTGACAAAGCACATATGAACAACTTTGTCCTGTGATGTGAAGCAGTCACTGAGTACATGCAGTGCCCCAGAGAGGTGTGAGCCATCTGGGAATTATTTTAAAAATTAATTAATATATTTCCTCTTTTTATTTAGTGCTCATTCATTTTGTGTGAATGGGAGAAAAGTATCATGGTCACTAGCAACAAAACCCAAGGGTTTAAAACCAGTCCATTTCTATATATACAGACTACTGAATCTTTGTGAAGCTACACAATCCTGTGAAACTGTCACAGGAATTTTGTAAAGATGTGTTTGTAACTTTGAGGCTTCTCTGAGGCTTCCAAATCCCCCTTATTCATACCATCACAATGACTGCTGCTATCTTATGCTCTTCCAATTATTCATAATTCCTCTATAATTCATTTATTCCTCTAGAAATATCTCAGAAAAGCAGTCAAACCTGATACCCACAGACACAAAGTAAACTCACAAATCAGGATGAAATGTTTTTGCTGGGAAGAAGAAGAAAAGAGACATGAGAGGGGTACTAGTCAGTAATGAATCTGAGAGCTGGAAAGTAAAGCTGCTTACTCTGTCCCTCTTAAGCATCAGAACAATATGATTTTACCTTTTTAAAAAGAAAGTACAGCCTTGAAGTATGCTGGCTTATATTTCCCCAAATTTCCGTGGAAGCCTTCCCTATTTTCCTCTTAAAAGTCCTCCTTCTCCCATGGTTTTCATTCATGACTTTGTTCTCCTTGTTGTCTTGTTTCCCCCTTACCAGCAAACTAGGTGGAAGTGAACAGAGGGTATGTGGGGCTCAGCTGTGGCCTCAATGTGACTGCATGTGCAGACTGATTCCCCCGAATACGTATAGTCCTCCCAAAGGAAGGCAGGAAGGATCAGGAGAAGGTAACAGGTTACAGGGAGGATAAAAAATAAAAGATCAGCTGTTTTTTTTAAAAATCAGGTTGCCAGAAGATGTGCTTTTTCTGACTGAAATGATTTCTTATATTGGTAAACCCAGTAAGAATCTCTGTGCCTTTTATAGTATGCATGAAAAATGTGTGATAAATCTTGTGCTACCTTGAAAACAGTCTTATGGTACAGGAAACATAACTCAAAAGATTGTGTCTGAACCAAGGAACAGGACAGTTCCAGTGGGACTGTTACATATAAAAATGTCTGTAAGATCAGCTTTCAAAAAAAGTCACAGATTGTAGAGGTCTGCAGCACTGCACAGAAACAAGAGACAGGATGGCAGTAGACAAATTCACTCCTGATTCATCCTGTAACAGTTTTGTGCTGAAGCTGAACTAAACAAGACAACAGTTAGCCTATGCATATCCTAAAACAGAGCTACAGAAGTCCTATCCTGTTCCTGAATAATTTTAACAAATATTTTTCAAATATCAAACTGCAATTTCTGTTATTGTTCAAGGGAGAAAGAGAATATATTCTTCTAAATTTTTCTGAAACGTGCACTTTAAGATATAACTGCAGAGCTGAGAACTAAGCAAGAAGATTTCTGGGACAGTTTTAGAAGACAATGTAGGCAACACAGAGTATCAGCTGTACATGAGTAAGGGCTTCCATAGCAAATATGAAGTAACAGACTATACTTTTGGAACAACCCCACAAAAATATACGTTAATTTAATGTTCCTAATTCAAATCATGTTTTTCATATCCCTAAATATTCATCATTACTATATTTGAGGAAAAACTATCCAGGGGTTCAAAAAATAAAGTCAAATTTTTTTTAATGTCAACACATTTAAAGCATGTTATCCTTGTTCATTTCCTAAACACTTTGATCTTGTGCTCAGTTTCACTGTCATATGGCTGTGGAATGGCTCACAAGTCCACAGCTCCTTACAAATCCAGAAATGATTCTTCTAAACTTAGGAAGACATGAATTCAGATTTGCAAAGATTTGAGTACCTGAACACACAGATGAACTTGAGCTGTGTAAAGTAAATTGAACAAATCAGATCAAGACGCTTGACTTGCTAATGTCCTTTGTATACATCTGCATGTTTCTGCAAATACTTGCATACCACCTCCTTACGAACTGTGAACATCATAACTTCACCAGCTAGAAACACCTTTGAGCCTTAAGCAAACTGTATTCTAAAAAACCACTTCTCTTCACCATTTTTTAAAATAAGCATTTAATATTACTTTAACTTTTCATCCTAGACTTTGAGATTTCACAAACCCAAGAAAATGGAGATATGGAATTACTAAAATTGGAGGATGACTTGTAAGTTTTTTTCTGGGTTTTCCATTTCAGTGAAATCACTGAAATAGACTCTTTAGTTATGCTTCAGGTTGCACTTCTGCTGCAGAAGTAAGAGAAATGGAGATTACTGCTACGATTGAATGTTTGACATTTGGGGATTTCTGCATGTGGGTGAGGAAAAACTTGTTTTTTTTTCCTTAGCAACCTGCAATGCTGCAGATCAGAAGTGATTTGAAAACTTAGAAATCTGGATGACAGTGTCAATACTACAGTCACTTCAAAATCAGAGCACAAACTTCTAAACCACAAATTTACTCCTCTGGGGAGAAAGTTTCATTCAGTCAAATTCAGGATAGCTGTTAACATTCACAGAGGTTTACTATTAATAGTTATCTACCATAAGCACAGTTCAACAGCCATTACAGTTTTTTAAACTAGCCAAAGGAAGCAGAAGTTGAAGATTATAAACTTATACTTGTGATATTAGACTACTCACAATCTGTAAAATATTTCCTGTGTGTGCACTGGAAAACAAAATATTGCCAAGCACATACAAAAGACCTTTTTCTGAAAGAATTTGTTAATTGTGAGTTTTTAATATCAAAAGCTTGTAAAATACAATATGAAAGTCAAAATGTACCACAGAAATAGCAGAGGTCAATCCAGCTTTTTTTTTTTTTTTTTTTTTTTTTTTTTTTAAAGAGTGAGGTAGGTCTATGTGCATCAGAAGGATGCTTTTCTAATCATATAAGCATCTAGAAAGAAGGTCCAGTTGAGAGGAAATAGCAGAGACAAATAAGAGCATTTTAGAATTGTATCTGTACAAAGACAAGATTGTTTAAAGTGTGGTGGTGGAGATGAGGACTTCCATTCTTTTCATTTTGATCTTTCCCTGAAATGCCTTAAAAATCACCATGAAATATTACAGTCCCGTGCTTCTTTGCAAAGATCACAGCTGTGTTATGACAAGAATTGTTTTAGTGGACCTGACTAGATAGCATTTGCATCCTGGACTTTAATCTTAAAAGCTAACATTTAATAGTTCGACAATTATATTAAATTGTCAAGCTCTACAATCACATTTAATTATCAAGAACTACTTCTGAGTCATGATCTCACTATCTGTCATGTGAAACAATGTTAGGGTCTAATTGATTCTTGTGTGAGACATCATGCACATAAAAGCAAACTTGCCTCCCTTACAAGATAAGCATAGCAACATGGTATAAACCTTGTACTCTGATATCCACTCACACTTTTCTCAGGCTCTATAAAAGGTGAAAAGGAAAAAATAAAGTCTGCACACCATTCATGGAAGAGGAGTAAGAGGGGATCACTTAGGAAGATATGGGAGTAGCCTTCAACGGTCCCTTCAGTCCTTTGCTTTAACCATTAAATAATAAAGAGGAATTCCTGATAGCAAGGGAAAATAATTTGCATCTGCAGTCTTTCTGAGGTTGCCATGTAATGTGACTGTAATTATCCTAAAGTGCTGCTCAGTAATAACATTGTAGAAAATTACATCTCAGCAGAATTGCATTATTGATTATACCACTGATATTGGTAGATTATTTTTAGATTTATAAAATTATTTCCCATCATAACTCAGTTGTTTTCGTAGTTGAATAGCTGCTATATATGAAACATACTGGCTTAATGTAAAAGACTGCTTGGAAGTATGGTCATCAAATTATGTTCCAGTCACAAAAAAGTAAGACCTGACGTAGTTCATAATTTACCTTTTATGTGTTACACTGAAATGCATGTACTGTTCAGCAAGTAGAATGTATCCAAGAAATCCTGGGCTATAAATCGGATTTACTGAATGAACCTTCAAGTTGTACATTTCTGTCTCACTTCCTGGCTTCTGGACAATTTCATCCACAGTAAACTGCCAGGTATTGGCAGAGTAGAAGAGTATATACAGATAAAAGAAAGTAGTTTGGATTTAATGGAAAATTCTGTGGCAGCCAATGTATAATAAATTAATTATTTTAATAAATTAATACTGTAATTTGGGAAATATGGTATTTAGTTCAGAGAAGTCTTCTAAATGTTGACTTCTCTAATGGCAGTCACAATAATCTATCCAATCAACACAGTGAACTTTGAATCACATGCAGAATATGTAAAACGCAATTACTTGGTTAAGTTAAATTCAGCTATTTTTGTTATTTAAATGTAACATCCTCATATATAAGAGGGATATGATAAAATTAGCTACTGACTAATAGCAGTTTGCAGTTAGACAATATTGGTGTTGCACAGTGCATGTACTAGAACTCATGAAGGATTTCTGGAAAGTTTCTACAGCTTGGTTTTAGGCCAGTTTAAATAGAAACATCCTCTTTTCTTTCTCTTCTTATATAGGAGAAATATATGTAAAATCAGAAGAACTTTTTTATCCCTTGGGCTGTGCTTTTTCCATTGCTCTGTTTCCTCTTCACCATGAAAATCTCATTTAATTTGACTAGGATACTGTAAACTTCCCTAACAGAAAACAT